ATCTACATGAGTGACACCTTTTTACTCTTAAATGAATACTTTGATATATTTTAGGAACCACACACTTTGATATTCTGAATTTTGCCTCATCCATTCTACGACTCATTTCTTATTCAGATGTAGACTAGCTAGATTGGACGCCCATCCACCATATAATCAACATTATGACATTATTTATTCTTCTGCCCTAAACTCCTTCTGTGGTTCTACAACCACTAGGGAACCATCTCTTGATAAAGTGTTGAAGCTATGTACCTTAATATGAGGTTGCAAATGTTGTTATTAAGACCAGTTGGGTTCAAAACTTACTCATGAGTTGCATCAACCGATCAGAACTGCCACATTTATTTTATGTGAAAATATCAGTATAGTTTACCTGACTTGCAACCTAATTAAACATTATATAAAAAAAACACACACACGATATTCATCTAATCAATATGCAAAAAAATTCTCAAAAAAGTTATAGTCTACATTATTTCTTGATTTTGGTCCGATTTAAAAGTTTGAAATCCTTCTATTTAAACTACATGAAAGGCGGTTAGTGCATTTATACGTTGTATGTAGTTCTTATTATGTAGCCTAATGCTCAACTATGGAGCCCAATCAAAAATCTCTATGTATTTTGTATATATTTACGGTTAATTAGAAAAGAAGATAATGTGAAAACTATTTTGTGTATGAAGATTAGTTAAACTCCACCGAGCACATGGAATTTTCAAAATGAAGCTATTTATGCATTTTTTTGGAGTGAAAGTATTTACTTATGTTTTATATCTCACAAATTCAACTCAATTTGTCAATTCAAATGAGCACAAAACGGTTTCATTGAAAGTGAAATGTCATTTTCTTTCATTCGTGTTGGCCATATATATATATATATATATATATATATATATATATATATATATATATATATATATATATATATATATATATATATATACACAAAGAGAGAGGGGGGGGGGGGGGGGGGAGATTGTGTGTGTATGCGTGTGAGTTAGTTTATTATGTTCTAGATAACTATTGTGTACGTAAGGACAATTCTGGACCAATTGATGAAAATAATGAATGACAATGTTTTTGAGAGTTTATAATATTACAATGGAATATCATGTACCATATTATCACTCAAATTTAATTATAATGATATTTTAGACAATTAACTATATTTAAAAATGAAATTTTCGAATTCTAAGGGATAATTCTAATTTTTTTAAATTAGTTCAATTTTAATTTTAATTTACTTTGTAATCATAACCAGATATATCTTATTTACTCTGTTAGAATGAACTTTTGTTAAAATAAAATTCTATTAGAATGACACTTTATGACATCTTTTAAGAAGACATAAATATGAAGAATATATGAATCAGTCCATTATCAAAGAATATCCAAACTGATTCTTGAATTAATAATATATCAAATAATTACATTAGATGATTGTGATACAAAAAAATATTCTTGAATAATAACACATTATATAATGGTGATAAAAAATATTCTTTAATAATAACAACATTTGCAACAAAAACTAAGAATAGTTAAAAAGAAAAAAAACATCAAAATCTCTTAAAAACATTAATACATTTTGAAAGAATATTATTGTTAAGATTCATTTTATATATTCTGAAAAAATATATTCTGATATAATACAATCACGTTTTCGTTCTCGTTCTCCATATTTTCTTTCTTTTCTATATCAATAAAAACCTCTTCAAAACCTAAAAAGGAAAAGAACATCAAAATCTTACAAAAACATTAATCCATTTTGAAACAATATTATTGCTAAGAACTGTTTTATATATTCTGATAGAATACATAAGAATGCATTTTATTGTGTATTTGATTTTCATAGAAAATTAGTATTTTGTCACGATGGATTGACAAATAAAGTGATTGAATAACATAATCGGATAAGAAAAATAAAAAGTAAATAACATAACTTGATTGTTGGTCTTGAAGAGACTTGTTTTACACAATGGAATTCTATTGATGGATTTCCTATATGCAACTATTAAAATGTACATTCGATAGAGTTAGCATCAAAGTGGCACTAGCTTTCAGTGTGAGAAACATCTATTACCAAATAATAATAATAATAATAATAATAATAATAATAATAATAAAATAATAATAATAGGCAAACAAAGATTTTAAAAGGATCAGTAAATCTAAAGTGTGATTACCATTTATTTTGACATAATATATATGATATTTTAAATTTGGCAGAATGCATTCAGCAATTTAAATTGGCAATGTGAGCTAGATTCAATGTATTCTAACATAATATTTTTTTTTTTTATTATAGCTCAGTCAACACCATATTAACTTCATAGTTAAAATTCATTCTAGTTATCCGTCATAGTAATTAAGTAAGAATCAATCGTTTTTTTATATATCTTTAGTAACACACCTAGCAATTCACAATGGAAATAATAAACACATACATACATATAATATATATATATATATATATATATATATATATATATATATATATATATATATATATATATATATATATATATATATATTAGAAAGTATATCAAAAAGCTTCAAAAACTCTTAAAGTTCTCATGAAATGCAGTTCACAATTTGAACTCTTTTTTTGGTGAATTAATTACAAATATAACACAAATTGAAATGAAATTTTTTAGAATATTGGATTGATGTGACATGAAAATATTGAATATGAAACTATTCACACAAAGAAATGAAACACCTTTAAGCTAGCCCTAAAAGTAAACTGAAATTTATTCTTAATCCAGATAATTGATAGTTCTCCACAAATTATCTACAACAACAAATTAAACGTGTTAATTCTTAAACCAGATTTTGAAGGTTGTACTAAAAGTAAACTGAAATTAATTTTTAAAATCATTAATAGTTTAGAAATCAACTTTACCTAGTCGATTTTATAGAGATCAGAGGACAAGAGGGAAGAAACTTACCATTGACAAACTGATTTCTTGGTGTTTGAAAGAGGTCATCGATCTGTATGAGGCCCATTAGTCTGTGCGTTGGAAAGAATTAGACATAAGAAAATAAAAGTAGGGTTGTGGAGATTATGGCTTTAAATGGCAGTAGATGATGTTGATGACCATTAAGTGACACTGAAGGGGTGGGGTTCTTGAGTCAGTGATGGCGTTAGCGGGAGGAAGACCGATGATGAAAAGTGTGGATGGTTTTTTTTATGATGATTGAATGGTTTAGTAGGGTAGGGTTTTAATAGGTACATAAATATCATCAATTGTTAATTTTGGATATTAATTAATGTGTATTTATATGTAATTTTATTAATTTACCCTTATTAATTTATATATGATATTTGCCATTTAACAAAACATATAAAATGTTAAAATGTGTTAAAGATGATGATAACATATTTCCTTTAATATAATGCTTTAATGAGTAGATTTGTCATTTGTGTATCAATCAAGTGAAGATGTACATGGTACACTGTAGATGTATAGGTATATCCAAAAAAAAGATCGGTCTACAAGGTTGGTTTTCCCATGTGCCTATGAGAACGATTTTTTTACAACGAATTTCATTTGACGAGGCAAGGAACCCTTGGAAATTAATGTTGGTTTTTCTTGATTATTCCATCCTAATTTTTTATGATGAGTTCATAGTTCATACGCATCTTTGGCGATTCCTGGGACTATATATATATATATATATATATATATATATATATATATATATATATATATATATATAATATATATATATATATATATATATATATATATATATATATATATATATATATATATATATATATATATATATATATATATAGTTCAAATGTTGAGATATCACCTTTTTTTTCTTTTTGAACAGCAGTTGCTTTCTTGCAAAGTTTTGTTTGTAAAGATATAGAGTTTATAACTATATAATGTCAAAGGAAATGAATTAACTCATAAATGAAATAAAACAATATCCGGATTTCTAGAATGTCGAAATGATATATATTAATAATAATAAAGAATATATGCAAACGTGGTCGACGTCTTCCCTCCAAATGGTTAATAACATTTGGATTGCATGTCCTACAAATTTCCTTTAATCTTTTTTATTTTATCATTATTATTATTATTTCTTTTTTTGCTACACTAAAGAATATAACAATAAAATGCAAAATTGGAATGAATCCACTTTAAATAATATAACGACGTATCTAAAAATAATTTCTCTTTCGGTAAACTTTCAGATAAAGTTTGCAATTTTGTTCATTAGTGATTATTGCTAAACGATTACAGCTTAAATTTTTATACACAATACTTAAATTGTTTGGTTATCAGTATACATTAGATTTAACATGATCGAATATTGTTTTACTGAATTATTTTTAAAATTAGACGTTTTACGTTTTATGTTGGATCAATGTTGCGACTTAATTTCCTTAATTTGTGTTTGTCTACAAAAATCCAATATTTTCTTAAGTTTTCAATCAATATTTTGTTGTCTTCAATATTCATTTTGATGTATTGTTCTTGTCAAACGGTATTTCCTCTATATATTACTAAGTATATTAAATATTAAATATTAAATTAGTTTCTTTAAGATTAACGACGTACGGAAGGACAAATTAAACGTTAGATCTATTTTTTTCGTTTACTTTTACGTGAAGAAAGTGACAGGGGTATATTTGTGAATTCACAGAATGACTTTGGTTTTGGTCTGGTTGCGAAATATGAAAAAGGCATTGATAAAAAGGGGGCTTGTCTTTTAGGACGAGTACTTAAGAGGAAAGAGAGCCCCCAGCCTCAAAATCAAAGCAACCCTCTGCAACACTTCTTATTACCCCCTTCACAATTTCTAACAAGCAAAGTAAAGAATTCCCCACTGCAAAAACCACATATATATATACACCTACATCCCCACCTTCATATTCCCTCCCTCCCTCTCTCTCTCTCTCTCTCTCTCTCTCTCTCTCTCTCTCTCTCTCTCTCTCTCTCTCTCTCTAGATCTCTCTTTCTCTCTCTAAACATATGGAACCTTGGCTTAGAACAGCTCTCATGGTACAATGTGTTCTGGGAATCATTCTTTCTTTATCAGGCACGTTTAATTCAATCTTAACTTACTCTTTTGAATTCATGGGTTATTTATTTATTTTTTTTTTTTGCATGTTTTTGATTGATTTGTTATGTTTGTAGGGTTTGGATTTGTTGTGGAAGTTGAATCACTCGGGATAAATTATGGCCAAGTGGGCAACAATTTGCCACCACCGGATAAAGTTCTTGAGCTTCTGAAATCACTAAGAATCACAAAAACACGAATCTACGACACGAATCCGGATATCTTAAACGCATTCGCAGGTTCTGGGGTTGAACTGATCGTGACTGTGGAGAACGATATGCTTGGGACATTGATGGACCCACAACAAGCTTTGCAATGGGTGACAACACGTATCAAACCATATTTTCCGGCAACAAGAATAACAGGAATAGCTGTCGGAAATGAAGTGTTCACCGGAGAAGACATGACACTGCTGGAGAATCTTGTCCCAGCCATGGTTAGTCTTCAACGTGCGTTAGTTCAGTTAGGAATGCAACAGTATATTCAAGTGTCTACACCTTCGTCATTAGCAGTTCTCGCGAATTCTTACCCACCATCCGCCGGAACATTTACGCCGGAGCTCATAACCATAATGACGCAACTTTTACAGTTTCTTTCAAACACAAAAGCTCCATTTTGGATCAATGCGTATCCTTACTTCGCATACAAAGATAGCCCAACTCAAATCTCTTTAGACTACGCACTTTTTAACCCGAATTCAGGCATGATCGATCCTCATACAAGTAAGCATTATGACAACATGTTATACGCTCAAGTTGACGCGGTTATATTCGCGATGGCTAGATTAGGGTTTGGAGGGATTGAAGTTCGGGTTTCTGAAACGGGTTGGCCATCGAGAGGTGACCCGAATGAAATTGGTGCAACACCTCAAAATGCAGCGATTTACAATCGGAATTTGTTGAGAAGACAATTGGGTGGTGAAGGGACGCCATTGAGACCTAAAATGAGGCTTGAAATTTACTTGTTTGCTTTGTTTAATGAAGATATGAAACCCGGCCCGACATCTGAAAGAAACTACGGGTTGTATCAACCCGATGGAACCATGGCTTATAATGTCGGGTTGTCGGCTTTATCGACGGGTATGAACCCTCCAACGTCCACTTCCGCGTCGACATCAACGTCTTCATCTTCTATATCGCTTACTTCCATGGCTACCAAGGTAATTTGATTGCTTAGATTTCTGTCTCAACATTCTCACACGTGTCACGTACATTCACATGCAAAATACAAAAAAATAAAAATAAATTCTATTATTTTTAATTCTATTTCACATCTATGAATACATAAGATTTTCTTTACTTATTATCTATGCATTCATGATAATTTAATAAAATTTGAAACGTACTATGTTTAGAAATTAGAAACGCCTATAAAAACTGAACATTGCCGGAATTATATTTAATGTTTTTAGGACAGGAAAGAAAACACTTTTAGACAATTAGAGTAAATAGATTAACATATATTTATAAACTCAACGTTTAACTTAATAGACCCTTTTAATAAGCACCAACAGAGCAATCCACCCGACTAAAAGTAAAGTTATATACATCATAATGATTATTAGTTGGCAAAAAATAACATTTGATTGATATCTTGCCGAAAAAGAAAATACTTTAAACAAACTTTGGTTTGAAACGTACATACGGTGAATCTTTTATTAAATATATTAAATACTTTTTTTTTTCTTGTATTTGTTTTTGGAGGGAAGGGAGTGTACTTTATACTTGGTGCATTGTTGGTGTATCATAGAATCTTAGTACATTGGAGCGCATATGGCAATTCCATACAAATACATTTGACACCTAGTCAAAATCATATATTACTAAATTGATGATGACGATAAGTTGTCGTTTTCTAATTAAGGGATGCTTTTTTCATTTAATGCAAACTTTCTTAATCTAATCTCATATTGTAAATTTAATATGCTGTTTGAATTAAAAAATCTAAGCATGTCTGTTTTTCACTTGATGTTTACCGAATATATATATATATATATATATATATATATATATATATATATATATGTCGTCATATAACTAAATATTAGTAGTAAATCTAATATGCAATAATTTATTAATTATATTTTATTGGTACAGGTGGAAAGAATGGATCATCATCGAGGCCTTTTGTGCTGGATTTCTTTCTGTTTGGTAGCCATGGCCACCACAATGCCACCATTTTAATTAAGAAAGTTCAAAACACCCTCCTGTGTACATACACGATACACCATTAATCGCTATTGGCCTTTTGAGCTTCAAGATCATCCAAGCCGTTGATTTGTGCCAAAAGCATCTGTTCCCAATTCGAATATTGATCTGACGGTTTCAATTCATTTTCGTACAAAGTAATTGTTTTTTTCTCGTGAGCGAGAAAAATTAATTAGTTGGTAGTTGAGAAATTGTTACCATATTTACCATATTCTTTAGTCAAAAGGAACATTAGTATGATTAATATGTTGTATTTATTTATTTTAGTTTATTAATTCCTAATTATATCTCTAATTAATGAAAAGAGTATTAGAAAGATATTGAGATGGTTATTGTGATTGGTTAACAGGAAAAGGTTATGCTTTTGGACGTGGAATCCATGACTATTTGTATATTAAAATAATAAGCAAAAGTCGGTGACGGAAAGACTTTTTTGAGGTCTCGTCTTATCCGTCTTGTAAATGATGTAATCCAAAAGTAATCGTTTTTTTTTATTGGGAATTTTTAAAACATTCTATTTTGTAGCGGTTAACGACAAAATTATATATATATTTTTTTTATATAAACCGGTAAAAATGTTATTGTATTATGTATTTCTTCAGAAAATATTCAAAACTTTAAAGTTTTTGATTCATGGTCTTCTTAGAATTTTCCATTGCGTATTTCTTCGTTGGAAAACTGAAAAGACTAAATTGTCTTTTCGATATTTTTTATGTTTTTTTTTGGTTAAATTTAAAGTTTTATGAAATTCAAATATGGGATCCATCTCTCTCTCATACACAAAGAGTTGTAACTTAATAGTACTATGTTTTTAAATTGGAACTCGATAGAAATCATTCTCAATCGTAACTCAAGAATCGAACCCCCTTTTCCAAATTTGTTTATGGTCATCTCTCTGTAATTTGAGTTTACACTTGATCTGCTATAAGACAACAAGAACAAGAGTAAACACATAGAGGTTGATTGTTGAATTGAACGGCCTACATTATTCATTGTAAATGCAAACTTGATTCCTGTCGTCCTCATAATCATAGAGATTGAAATTTATGTCAATATCAGTACCTTTAAATTTTATGACGGGTCGATCATAATCTATAGGTTCGGTAAATAAAGCCATTTTGATCTCTAATTCTCAACTTAATCATAATCAATGTAACATCCGTTTTTCAGGATGGATCAGTTGGTAACTTGAAGGAGTCAAATGTATGGTTTTAAGGGAAAAAAAATTGCCACAGTGGTGCATGGATGCCCACGACCTGACATGGTCTTTATGAAATTCGCATCTTTAGCGTGCCATCCAACGTGGCAAGAGGGTTTCCACGATATGGTGGTTGTTACAACCCAAGCCCATAATATTTAGGGTTTCTTTCGTATTTAAGCAAACAATTTAGATTTTAGGGTATCCTCTTCAGCTTCCAACCTCCCAAAGTAAAACCCTAGCATCCTTGAAGCTTTTGGAGCTCATTTTTCAAGTTATGGCGATTTTGATGGAAGAAGACGGAAGTTTGGTGCATAAATCCAGCAAGCAATACATCCCCCTTCTTATGTGCATCCTTTGAACTCTTTTTGTAAGTCCTCAAGTTTTCATCTTATTGGTTCTTCCTTATAGATCTAGGTTATTTTAGCTTATTTTGGTACTTGGTTTTGGTTAAAGTGGTTGGATGGAATAAAATTAACAACTTTTGGCTCTCTAGAGTCCCAAGAGCATTATACATTATGGATCTAGAAGTTGAGTGATTGTTGAAAGCCTTGTATGGGGATCTAATCCTATTTTTACCATTTTGACCTATATCAGAGAAAGACATGCATTAGACATTCATATCCATAAAGTTTGGATTTTTATGGACCTTTAGGATCCCAAGAAGCCTTTTGGAAAGTATGAGTTTAGGTCTTATTGAATTGAGAACTTATTCCATTAAGTTGACCTCAGACAGTGTCCATGACATGGGGAAGAAGGAATATGTGTTTGTTCTATATTGACATTGCCACAACGTGACCTTGGGTAGGCCAAGAGATGGAGGTCAACTAACATTGACTTTGACCGTTGACCTTAACCGATGACTTTTTGACCTAGTTTAACACCCCAGACGCACCCTAGCCAGCAATATAACACCAGGCATACCTAGTAGTGGTCTATTACCGATACACTTTAATATGCAGTCTACGAAGTTTCCCTTAATTACTTCGTGAAAGAAAACGATGACATATGAAGCTCGTTCGATCACTTCATAAAAGAAACGCTGACTCTAAAGCTCTCTCAAAATAAAAGTATGGGGAAATACTACTAGAGTACTCCCGTAAGCTCCCGTAACCAACACACAAAATTTGTCAAAAAGACTTTGTACATGATAGTACTTCTGGCACATTATAGTACTCTGGTATGCGAAAGACTTGTACCCGAGAACATAATAGTACCCTGGAACAAGCAGCACCCAAGACACAGAGCTTTGAAAAGGACTTCGTACATAAAATATACTTTTGTATGTAGGACGTACTCCACCGATCATCAATCTCACAACACACGTACTCTTAATAAGAGGCTACCCAATGTCCAAACTTAATGGAACTAAACATCCCTATTTAAGTCTTAACCCATCACTAGGCAAGCCTACAATGCCTATAATCAATTTTTCGATACTATCTCCGTTTGGAAACGCTAACTAGTGTATACTTAACACAAAGTTTTAAGTAATAATATCATATATACACATCTTAACACATATTGGACCATAACTGGTTCACATGTTGTATGTCATCAATTATACATATAACACATGTTTTGAGCAATAGAAAATATTTCACCCATATATATATATATATATATATATATATATATATATATATATATATATATATTTCATACTTTATGTGTTAGAAGAAAGTGACTATACACTCACCTGATCAGAAGATGATCGGACAGCACTACGGGTTGTAAAAGTAGTATTCTTCGGTAGATCTGGAAGATCTTCACAAAAAACGGACTTCTCACGGGCAGAGCTTCGGCTCGGGAATCTCACTTTTCGGGATCCTTGGGGCTTTGGAACTTGCTTCGAGTCTCGGGAATGATATCGGGGCTTCGGGATATTTCTTACAAGCAGGACGATGCAAAAATGAGAGAGAGAGAGAGAGAGAGAGAGATAGAGAAGACTTTGAACAAAAGAAATCGGAAGCCCTCGAGATCTATTTATAGGGTGTTGAAAACTCAATTATGTTGGGCGTAAATCCAGGTATGATGGGCGTACTAATCCTTACGCTGGGCGTACGCTTCGGATAAGCTTTGGTATGCGTGCCTCAAAGTTCAAAAATTCGTAACTTTCGCATATGAGTTCCATTTTCAACGTTTTTTATATCCACGCGTAGGTGAGACTATGCTCTACAACTTTCGTTTAGACTTCGTCGGCTGATTTCGACTTTATTTTTATTATATTATTTTTAGTAGGTCGGGACAGGAAAACTCCGTTATAAATACATAACTTCTTCCTCCGACGTCCGTTTTCGTCTGTCTTTTCACCATTGCACTACTAATAATGAGATCTTCGATTCTCATTTGGATTGCTTCGACCAAAAATCACTCGATCTCAAATTCGAGTTTCGGGCTGCATACCGTTAAGCTGAAACTTAGAAAAATCATAACTTCCTCATACAAAGTCAGATTTGGGCGTTCTTTTGATGCACACTCTTGGTTTAACTAATTCTACAACATTCTTTTAGATCACTAAGGCTAAATAATCTCTCTATCGTAAATTCACTTTTTACGTCATTCGGCGTCGTGCGAGTTCTGTCGTGAAACTTCGATAGGTCATAACTTTTTCGTTATAACTCGGATTTCAGTGTTTTTTATATGTATGGAACCCTTGTAACATATACTAAAACCTAGTTAAGATTATTCCTTCAAAATAATCTTCCATAAAAAAAGTCATTTTTGACCCTTATTGACCTTAATTTGACATAAAGTTTGAATTTTTATGGACCTTTAGGATCCCAAGAAGCCTTATGGAAAGTCTAAGTTTAGGGATTTAGTGATTGAGAGCTCACTCCATTAAGCTTTCCTTAAACAATGGTCACAATGTAGGGAAGAAGGAATTTGTGTATATTCTATCTTTATATTACCACGACGTACCCTTAGGTAGGCCACAATGTTGAGGTTAAGTAATGTCGACTTTGACCATTGGCTTTTTGACCTGGTTGACTTTTGGTCAAATTGCTAGTCTTAGAGTGTGGATTAAGGTTTGGCTTTGGATATTTCGATAGGTGGGTTGTAGCACCAACTTATGGACTTTTTGATCTGTGATTATTTGACTGTGAGTTTGAGGTGATTCTTCTCACTATACTATGTAGGATGCTAGTTGTGTTTGTGACCTTTTCAAGTTACGTTGAGGGGGGGGGGGGCATTATGCTAGGCGAGGCCTGATACATTGGGTAAGGCCCATTATGATTGGATAGGTTGGGGCCGATATATTATGGGTGGGGCCCGTATGGTTATGTGGTATTTTGGGGAACTCACTAGGCTTTCTTCTTATGGTTTCATATTTAGATGTTTTTAGGTTTTCTTATTTTATAGGAAGGGTGCGACTAGATTGCATCACATGCATTAGAGATTTCCACACATAATAACTTCTTGAAGATACTCTAATAAATGTTTTGAATCAAATGGTTTATCAAGATCTTTAAAGTTATAATTTAAATAAATAATTTTATTTTTAAATGAAAATTTTGGTTTGAAATTTTGGACGTTACAAAATTAAATAAGAAGAAATCAAAGAAGACACAACTAACTTCTCAACATCTTCTCATAAACTTCAGGGTATTCACCAAAACTCTTATAAACCCACCATTCTCTTTAATAATCGCTATTAATTATTTCCTAATTTTTATTGCTTCTTTCTTTGAGTTGTAAAATCGTGTTCATTGAAATGGTTTGTTAATCGAGAATGAAATGAAATCAGAATACTAATGAATTCTGAACACTTAGAGTA